AGAAAACCTGCCCCAGCGCCACTTTGTCCACCACAAATCCCACTTGACCAGACCCGGGATCGAACCCGGGCCGCCGCGATGGGAAGCCAGCGAATAACCGCTTGAGCTATGGCGCGGCCTAGTGTGTCAATAATAATAATACTTACTCATTTACTCATGGAGCTGAGCCCTTCTGGAGGAACCGCAAATTCTGCAGCTACTCAAGAATTTCCCAGCATTCCGTGGACCCCGAAGGTTCATTACCGTGTTCACAAGAGCCCTCCACTGGTCCCTATCCTGAGCCAGATCAATCCAATCCATACCATCCTATCCTATCTCTCTAAGATCCATTTTAATATTGTCCACCCCCCTATGCCTTGGTCTTCCCAGTGGTCTCTTTCCTTCTGGCTTTCACAGCAATATTCTATACGCATTCATAATCTCCCCCATTCGTGCTACGTGCCCTGTCCACCTCACCTTCTTTGATTTGATCATTCTAATTATACTTGGAGAAGAGTACAAGTTATGAAGCTCCTCATTGTGCAGTTTTCTCCAAACTCCTGTCACTTCATCTCTCTTCGGTCCAAATATTCTCAACACCCTGCTCTCAAACACCCTAAGTTTATGTTCCTCCCTTAATGTCAGAGACCAAGTTTCACACCCATACAGAACCACAGGCAAAGTTATAGTTTTGTATATCCTAATTTTTATGTTTTTGGATGGCAGATGAGAAGACAAAAGGTTCTGGACTGAATGGTAGCAAGCATTACCCGAGTTCAATCTCCTCTTAATTTCCTCCTGAATCAGGTTTTGATCTGTTACCATTCCCAAATATCTGAACTGTACATTTTCAGAACATCTATTTCCTATCCTTATGTCATGATTTTGCCCTGCATTTTGGTGACAAGACAGCAACATATACTTAGAGTTCTCTGTATGTACTTCTAGACCAGCCTCTTTACTTGCATCAATTAAAGTTTATGTGTTTTTCTTTATGGTATCTATATTATCACCCAGTATATTCACATCTTCGGCATAGGCCAACAGCTGATGTGTCCCATTTAATTGCAGTCCCACCTGGTTTCCTTGGGCCTTCCTAATGGCATATTCTAAAGCAGAGTTGAAAAGGAGTGGTGATAAAGCATCTCCTTGTTTTAGACCATTCTGGATAGGAAGCTTATCAGACAAATGTTTACCTACACGGACTTTACTATACGTTTCATTTAAACACATTTTAATCAACCTAACTAGTTTCATGGGTATCACAAACTCTATCAAAATATCGTACAATACTTCCCTCCTAACTGAATCGTAGGCTTTCTTGACGTCTATGAATAGCTGATATACTGTCTCATTGTACTCCCATTTTTCTCCAGTATCTGATGAATATCGCATTAAGTGGAGGAATTGTTTTGGAAGAGACTGTGGACCTGTCGTCTGACAGATTACTGATGATGATGATGATGATGATGATGATGATGATGATCTGATGAATGCAAAAGATCTGATCTGTAGTTGATGTGTTACATCGAAACCCACACTGATGATCCCCAATCATTTCATATATATATATATATATATATATATATATATATATGGGCTTAACCTTGAGAGAGGAATATTGGATAAAATTTTGTGTGTAGTTGAGAGCAGTGATATCCCCTGATAATTAATAGAGTCAGTTTTATCACCCTTCTTGTGAACTGGTACAATAATAGACTGCTTCCACTGATCAGGCAATTTTTCCTTATGCCAGATAGAAATAATTAGATTGTGGATCTTAGAACGCAATATTCCGCCTCCTGCTTGGATAAGTTATGCCGGAATGTGATCACTACCTGGTGATATATACCATTTCAATTTTGCAATAGCACTTTCAACCTCAAAAAGGCTAGGATCAGGTATTAATGGTTAAGCTGTATGGATTTCTGTCTGCCTAACATTACTGACCCTATTTACATTCAGTAACTGAGAGAAGTAGTTCCTCCACCTATTCAAAATGTTGTGCGAATCAGCAAGCAGATCATCATTCTCATCCTAGGCTGGTAACTCCTCTTAAAGTAATTTATTCCCCTATACAGGTCTCTAATGTTCTTGTTCTTACTGTTCATTGCAAGCTCATCAAGTTTGTCTTTCAGATATTCCCTCTTTTTGTTCCTGAAATGCCTGCTGGTTTCAAGACTTATATTGTTCAGATTAACCCCTGCTTTCTTTGATCTAATAATTCTGAACATCCTTCATCGAACCATGGCTTATGCTTCTTCGGTTCATAATAACCTAGACTCTCTTTGGCAGACATTTTTATATTCTCTCTAATAGTTTCCCAAGCTTTATTAACATCCACTTCAGTTTCCAAGTTTTCCAAAGCCACGAACCTATTTGAAATTTCAACACAATACTGCTCTTTACCCTATACCTCATTTAATTTGTTGAGAGTGAACCTCTCCATATGCCCTGTGTGTTGTTTGTTTGATCACTGCGAGTCTTTCCCTAACCTTTGCCACCACCAGGTAGTGGTCAGTATCACAATCTGCTGCCCTGAATGATCGAACATCAAGTATATTTGAGTGCCATCTACCTTCTATCAAAATATGGTCTATCTGATTGTGTATCTTCCCATCAGGAGATGTCCAAGTAAATTTATGGATGTTACGATGTGGGAACTTTGTACTTTTGACAGTAAGATTTTTTGATGTGGCAAAGTTCACTACTCTTAACTCCATTATCATTACTAATTTCATGCAAACTCTCATTCCCAATCGTTGGTTTGAAAATGTCTTCCCTCCCTACTTTGGCATTGAAATCTCTTAACAAAATTTTCATAGGGTACTTTGGGAATTTATCAAGTACATGTTCTAGTTCTTCATAGAATCTATCCTTTATGTCATCAATTTATATCTTCTGTTGGGGCGTGAACATTCATAACAATGATATCACACCAGCGACCTATTAGTATTATATATGATATGCTATCACTAACGAACTCTGCCCTCTTAACTGCTGATACGATTCTCTTATGTATGAAAAACCCTGTACCTAATTCATGATTTTCATTCCCCTTTCCATAGAAAAATGTATAGTCTCCTGCTGGTGCGATGCCACCACCATCCCATCTGACCTCCTGTACTCCCGCTAAATCTAACTTATATTTTAAGATTTCTTCTGCCACTGCCCTGAGCGAACCTGCCCTATACAAACTTCGAACATTCCAAGTTGCAAATCTGATATCCATTTTCTTTAGCTTAGGTCATTTATCCAAGGAATCTGTCCATGTCCGAGACTTAATGTTCATTTTCGTATCATACTTATTTTTTACTGTGAGGAGTTGTTAGCCCCACGCCCAACCCCCAAGCTGGAGGACCACCCCTTGTCGGCTCTCTGCGATTGCATATTCGGTATATTCGCAGCTTCCCTCCACAACTGGAGGATGTCTCCTCCATCCACAACCTGAGGACATGCCATGCTGTGGTGACAAGGGACCCACCTAACATGGTAATAATTATAAAGGGCTTCTATCTTAAACGCATTAGACAAACGAAATATTCATGTAGTGGTGATCTCGATGGATAGCAGTACGTACCATTCTTTAATTGTGGGTAAGGCCCCGATATACATAGAACACTAAGAAGGATGATATATTGGCTTGGTTGTCAGGAAGCAATATTCAGTATAACTTAATCCAGACTTGAGTTGAACTGCTAGGCTTGCAGAAATTGAGAAAATGAAAAATTGTGCATTGTGAACTTTGTTGTGAGATGAATGCCATACCACACTGCCAATGTAACCTCTCAGAATTTGTTTGGGCTCAAGTAAAACATGAGGTGGATGACAGTTAGCCTGCAATTAGGCTTTGGGATGTTTAAATTCTAGTGAACTGTGCCCTTGACAGAATTACTCTTTGGCAGTTAAGTGTTAAGCACACAGAAAATTTTCAGACAGTGACATTGGCCAGGAATAACACTCAGATTGGGGTATAATTGCTGTAACTGACTTTATTTTGTGGTACTCTTATAAACCACTCTCTGTAGCTGCATCCTTCAGAGCATAATACAGTTATTACTTATAGCGCAGTTCTCTTGATTCATAATTAATTCTTTGTGTGTAGGTACATTTAATAGAACAATTCACATTCACTGAAGACTAGTGTCCCATGTTGCTGCATTTGGCACTACTACTCTGTTCCCTTGCTTAGTCTCTGCTCCTTTACTTCCTTCCAGGACACAGTACATGTGACTGGCGTATGCCTCAGCTGTCAGTTCTAGTGATAAACTTCAATATCACCATTCATTCAGAAGTTAACTACAGATTAAGCGGCCTCCATAGTCTAGAGGTAACGTTCCCACCTCATGACTCGTAGTACGCGGGTTCAAATACCCGGCGGAGGTCGTCGAATTTTTAAGGGCGGAAAAATTCAGGGAACAAGTCCTCCGGGAGGGACTTTAAGCCGTGGGTCCCATGTCGTAGCTTTACGGCACGTAAAAGAATCTCATACCTCCAAAGGAGGTCACTGAGCAAAATTGCGGACATTTGCCGCCCAACAGCAGTCACTAATACCTCCGGTAGATGGGGGAAGCATTATAGATACTTCTCAGCCAGTAGAGCTGGTCTCGCTGGCTGGGCGGGACTGATGGTAAGCACCAATACCGGTAGGATATAGAGGCTGGTAGAAATCATAGAGGGAAGCACAGTGGACCACTACAGGTCTAAGTGCATGGGGAAACCGACCCTCTCTAATAACTAACTAACTAACTATCTAACTAACTATAGATTTCTCAGCATGTTGTTTCACATTCTACAAAAAATTGCCTAAGCATTATTAATTGCATATTCTATACAAATGCATTACTACTACAAAACATTTTAGGATCCTACATTGTTGTTTTCACTAGTATGACNTACAAGGCTTGACATACTGCAACAGTCAGGAAGGAAGGGCTAATGTCAAAGTGTCTGATCATTCAACAAACACATAACGATATATTTCAGTTGTAGCTAATGTCATGTATGTTTTCCTGTTTCAGACTGGGCTGAAGAAGCAGTAGCAAAGGCAGAGATTCTGCGACTGATCTATCAGGGCCGCTTCTTACAGAGCAATGTCACGCTGCGGGCGCTTGGATTGCCATTTGGCAAGACCACTGTCATGCATCTGGTGCCACGGGAAAACCTGCCAGAACCTAATTCACAAGGTAGGTGGTTATTAACTCCTCAGTAATGGAGGCCCTTTGAAAATGTTTGAATGTGTGGGAGGCAGTGACATGTAAAATCAAGACAGTAGAGGTGGGCTGGCTCTAGTGTAAAACACAATAAGGAATACCATATTTCTGTGGAGAATCTCATGCTTAGAATGACACCATTTCAGTGACTGTGAGTGAAATAGTAGGATAATAGTAAAATATATCTTAGAGAATTGGACTGTGAAGGTATGAACTGGATTTAAGTGGCTTACAATCATGAGATATGGTGGGCTTTGCTGGTAGTGATGTTGAGTCATCAGGAAGGGTTGGTTAGTCTAGTGACTGATGAAGTCAGTGCAGTATGAAAGAAAAAAAAATCATTTATTTATCATTTATTTATCCTGTCCCAGATAGGTACAGATTGTTCTGCATGAAGATCAAACTCAAAGGTTATAGATCTAATATGTATTCAGTATTTGTGGGTTAATATCCATTGGGTACCTGGGGATTGTTCCCCAAGGGTTAAGCTGTTAGAGCATGAAGTTGACCACTCCCGGCCATAATGTGTAAAGCTTAGAACTTTACCTCTACTCCAGTTTGAGCCATGCATTGCTGGCTCAGTATATTCCCATTTGCAAACAAGTCTGCAGCTCCCTTCCCATACAACCTGTGCTATTCCCCCACTCCTACTGCCTTCCATCTCGCTTTACCTGTCAGTCGGGACTTGGGGATGGACTGAAGAGCAATGTATTCATGTATTCATGATGTGGCTTTTGACAGAGCAGCTTGCTCTAGGAACCACAGTAATAGCTGGTCCAGAATCCAGGGACAGCTAGACAACTTTCTGGTGTTTGGGGCTGTTAGATAAGTGGTGTGTGATCAAAATTCTGTTTCAAAGTGTTGATTCTAAATTTGTGTTTGGCTTTCTCCGTTTCGTTCACCTGCTTTTGTTTATCAAGTAAGAGCTCTCTGCCGTTTTATCTTGTTCTTCTCTTTATTATGTACATAGTGAGTTCCATTACAACTGTGTCATTGAAGTATTTACGTGCATCGTAAACTTTACTGAGAAGGATCCCAAGTAGCAGTAGAGAGAAACAGGAAGCCACTCTGTATCACTTGCCCAGAGTGTGGTTTTAGTACATGGACCTATGGGTTATGAGCCCAACCTGCTTCCACTGCACACATAGCTGAAAGAAAGACTAAAAACTGGGCCGAGAGACCATCAGACCACACTGAGGATCATCTTCATAGTAGTCCTAAGATGGTCAACATATTAGACACACATCTGTATATGAACTTTTCCATCAAATCTGCATTTTCTCCATTGATCATGGCCTGGGGTCACATTCCATCATACCCATTTTTTGACAGGAATGCCTGATACAGGGGTGTGTGACACCATGCGCTTTGAATCCAAGAATCACCTTCCATCTGGGAATCCCAACCTCCATGTCTGTAATGGGAAATTCAGAGAGGAACTGTCAAAATTATCCAGTAGTACCATCAGAGTCAAAACACTTGATGTCTGGACAGAGACCAGACAGTAGACTCTCTTCACAGCTGAATACCAAGAGTATGTGTATATTTTTTTTCTAGAAGTGATATTTAACAGTGGTTCAATCCAAAACAAACTCCCGGTCTGCTGCCCCAATGCATCTGCATTTGAAGTAGGGAGATTCATCTTCCTTTCCACATTTTTACTCCTACTTGGGGTGTCAGGTTAAGGTGTACATAATGTCTAAATAATTCAGTGATATACAGTTGTAATGGAGCTGAATGTGTGATTAATAAAGAAATAAACAAGATAGAAACAATAATGAGGGCAGCATACACAAATAGTAGTGACCTCTGATCTTGGTGTGATCCTGTTGCAGCTTTGTAATTAATAGACATTAGTGCTAAGACAAAAAAAAAATAAACATAGTTAAATGAAACAATACAAGAACAGCATACCAGAGGTGAGCAGAACAGAAAATGCCAAGATGAATTTAGAAACAACACTGGTGGACAGTCTGAATAGCACACAACTCATCTTATTGGCCTCAAACATCAGTGATTCACCTAGCCACCCCTAGGATCAGGGCCAGTGGTGATTTTCGGCTCTAGAGCAAGTTATTCCCATGAGAGCTAAACCACAGATACCTTTCTCTGTGTCTACAAGTCCTGAACGACAGGTGAAAGGGAGGTGGTAGGCAGGAAAACTTATGGGTAGTAGAAATGGGGAAAGCACAAGGTAGTGCAGGAAGGTGGCTGCAGGCTGGTTCACAAATGAGAATAAGCTCAGCCACCAATGCACAGTTTACATTACTCTCTGTCTCCCTCCACCTCCCTTCCCTCTTCTTTAGTATATGAATGCACAGACACCTTTTGTGACACAATCTTGTATACAGTGTTTTATTGGGGCATGTGTAGTTGGTTGAGGCACTATGCTACAAGCTGGAAGGTCGCAGGTTCCAAGTCCCAATGAGGTCATTGGATTTTTTTCAGTTGACATAATCCTTCCAGACGCAATATGCCCCTGGGGTCGACTCAGCCTCTAACAGAAATGAGTACCAGGAATTAATTAAATAATTTTCCTGGGGAGTAAAGCATGGCCAGCGCATAAGGCTGACAACCTCACTGCCATCTTTGAGCTGATTGTTTAGATAATGTGGGACCCTCAACATCTCACAACCCTATGGGCCTTCACAGTCTGTTACAGGGATAGCTTTGCTATACTTTTACTTTACATTGTCTTATTATGTCTAGCTACATGTTTTGTCTTTGGAGATTTTCATTATGGTTTGTGAAACAACACACACATCCATGTTATAATAGACAAAAGAAGCACCAGGTGAAACACAAAAAGAAAAGTATGCACAATGTTAGCTATAGTGGTTATGAGAAAAAGACACTGATACATTGGTGCTTAAAAAATAATTTCACCAGCCTAATAATACCCATACCCATGAAACTAGTTAGGCTGATCAGAAAGTGTTTAAATGAAATGTGTAGTGAAGTTCATATAGGTAAACATTTGATACATTTCCTATCTAAAATGGTCTAAAACAAGGAGATACTTTATCACCACAACTTTTCAACTTTGCTTTATAATATGTCATTAGCAGTGGACGTCTTTCTGGGTCTGCTATTTTGGCTTTAATCTGTCATGTGACAACCTAAATAAAAGAGAATGTGTGGGTTTGTGTGTTAATGCTCTAACTCAGAAACCAAGGAATGTAGAATGCTGAAATTTGCCATATATATGTAAGAAAACCTGAGCGATATTTCTGTGCAGAGTGCAAAATAATGAGCACGTAACTCTGGAGCAAAACATGTTTACACTATGTATTTTCATAATCTTGAGTAACTTATAAAATTATGTGACATTCCAAATAGGTTTCAGGAATAGAATTAAGAATGTTGTCCTGAAGTTCACAGAAAAATGGTATGTTTCAATATCTTGGACTTGGACACGTAGTGATTATTTTAGTATTTGTGCTGCCCTCCAATAGCAGAAATTAATGTCCTCTAATAGTATCAGTGTGAATTGTGAAGCTGTCTCTGAGGTTATTGGGCATTTACAGTTTAAGTGTATTACAGATATATTGATGGAGATTTTCGTTGGTGAGTTACAGCTGCCTTTAATAATGTGACTTCCAGGTGTATTTCCTTAGAATGTGACGTGCTTGTGATTATTGTGTGGGACACCAAAGAAAATAGTCATGTAAGATATTGTAGTGTCCTGTGGTCAGTCAAAATGAAGACTGATCACATAACCCAGGCAAGGCCGGGTCCTTGCAGCTAATTTATAATAATGTACACAAAGTTTTGTCTACATGTCTGTGCAGGCTGGTACACTGAGAACACAGTTTACCTATGATTTATTCAGTAACTGATGATTTACAGTATTTTTTTTTTGTGGCAAAGAAGTGAGGTGTCATTGAAAACTGATCTAAACAAGACAAACACACGTGCACGTTCAAAGACAGATAAGACAGATTCTTCCACTTGATTCATGGTGGCAGCAGTAATAATGTTAATGCTTATGAATGATTTTCACCTGTACTTTGTTACAGACCAACGGCAGAAAAGCAAGGGTGGGGGGAGCAGTTGCTGCTCTACATCATGCTGTATTCTGTAATCAGTACCATGGGCACCAGTACAAGCATGTAGAAGCCTATATCCCAGTATGAACTGGAGCATCCCAAAGTGATAAAGCTTGTATAAATTGGAAACATAGGATGTGGTGACCCTACAGTGGCCACGGACTTACACGCTGATTCTGGATCAACTGCTGAGCAATGTGCACTGGGATGGATAAGTATCTCAAGACTGCAAGTGTGAATACAAGCAGTGTACTGGTACCACAGTGCCACGCTCAGTGTGGCTAATTAGTCCAGGACTGCTAAGCAGACTGGAGTAGGGAACTGTCTGCCTACCTGCCTGCCATAAGTCCTGTTGTGAGATTTTCATATTGTTGTGATATTCAGGTAGTGTAACAGATTCTAAGTGTGTATTCGACGAAGCAATTGAGGGACTGAGCAGTGAAATCTGGTTGTTGTGCTACTCCTTGTGGAGCTACAAAATTATATCTGAGTTCTTTACATTCAGTTACTCACTAGGAGCAAAATATTTCTTGGTTTTTTTTTCCATTTCAGCCTTGGAACTCTTTTGTTTTATAGTTTTTTCTCTTTCTAGAATTATATGTATATTATTTGACCCTTATTATGCTTGAGGAAATTGTACAGAAACTTAAAAAACTCATACTTTTTCTGTTCAGAGCTGTTACACAGAAGCATGTTCTCAGTTTATCTGTATGGGGATGTCAACTGTGGGATTTACTGGCCAATTGACAAGATATGTGTGCATGCTATTTATCAAACTGCTTTAGCCACAAAATGTTATATCTTGTCACATAGTATTGATGTATACATACAGGTCTGTGGTTTCAGTATGACATCTGGCATCACTGAATTCATATATATGTGCATGTGTGTACATATACATATATACATGTACACACATATCTTTAAAAGGACTTTGGAATGCTTAAGAATTTTTAAATTCATTTACATATACACAACATTTGATCTAAAATTAAATGTTTATATCTGAAAGTGAAATGTATCATGATTATTGAACTGATTTAAATTACATTTTTTCTCAATTTTAAATAGGAGAGCACCACGCATTAGACTTAGTTCTGACAGCTAAACTTTAAATTTAAATAAGTGGTGAGAGTGTACAAAATTATGCTTTGCTTTTTGTTGACCACGATTGTTCACATTGCAGAAATTAGGAATATATACTGTCTGTAGTGTACCCGGTTATTTAATGTTTGTTGTCACAGCATGCTGAAGCCTAGGTCTGGCATCGAATTGAGTTCCAAGGAAATCACTTGGTTACTGTACCAACTATGTCGAAGTGGTCAGACCACAGGAGATGTTCATATATGGATCCTGTTATAACAGGATAATCTATTTAGTCCAGTTTCTTTTTTAGCCAGTGGGAAAATCATGATGAATAAATGTAATGTGGCAGTAATTTTTATGTAGTTTATTATTCTGTTGAGAGGTTGGAACTTCTGATGAAGTGCTGAGATCAATTTGTATGTTTTATGAAGAAAGAAAAATAACAAGACATAAAAATAGTGGCCTACTTCTGTGCAAATTAATTAATCCAGTGTTAAAATGTCCATCGTAAATAACTAGAGAGAATTATTGAATGGAGAGTTGGTACATATATAAATGCAGTTCATAAATATTATAAAGATAAATACACTTATAATATATACAGATATATTATCAGTTAAACTGTACTTTTATCTGCATGATCTTTCCTCTTAATTATCAGAACGTAATAATTTTCTGTAGAATGATGATTTGAAGTTTACATTTTTGACATTTACTTTGTTCCTAGTACCAACCATAAAGTAATTCAGGTACCTTAAAAATGTTCACATGTGTTAGTATTAGCTATTTGTGTCCCAAATGATGTTTTCTTCTGTCTCTCCCCTCCATTCCCCTTCTCCCATTTTTTATTTTCTTCACTACTGCAGTGAAATATGTTATTACCCTGTCTCATGTTGGCTAGCCACAGGTGTACCATATTTGTTATCATCAGATTTGGGTTGTATGTGTGTGTGTATGTGTGTGAAAGAGAGAGCTGAGTCAGGTTGGGGAGGAATTGACTCCTGCACAGTGACTGTGCTTTGTGTTGTCCACTCTGCAGGTCAAGTTGTTCTGTCCATGCTTGTTGTTCAGCAATGAAACTGCAAAGTGAATGTAAGCATTTTCTTTTGTCAGATGTCTATTTACATTCTCTAGTTTACTTGTAAATATTATAGTACTAATGTATTTTTGTTTCATACCTGGTATGTGATTTCCTCCAAGAGAGGATTTTATTCTACAGAAATGGAGTAGAAATAGAGAATAAAGTTCAGATCACAAACCTGTCTTTCTTTTGTGTGTGTGTGTGTGTGGGGGGGGGTATATTCAGACAACACTTCTCCTGTGTCCGGTACTCCAAGCCATATTTATTCATGTAACTCTCTCTGTTGTGTAACTTGCCCACCTGATTTTTGAAGAAGAAATAAAAGGTTGTTTTTTGCAGCATGTAGATGCCTCTCCTTTGCCACGGTTTTCAGTATTATTTACAGTGCAGTCTCCCTTCTTCCTCCACTTGTACTCCCAGTGGATTGATGGATGGACACAGTTCTGTGCTAAAAGTCCTCTTTGCATAAGTATATATTAAAAATATTTATGGCTGATTTTATTTGACTTCATATTATGTGCACTTCTGTTTATCTTCTGCTTTCTCTTCATAATCCCAATAAACTAACTGTCTGACCATGCAGTAGTAAGTCACACTACATGCCTAAACAGTACACCCAAATTATTCAAACACTGAATGAGATTTGAGGTTGTGACAGTGGTGAATATTAAAATTGTAGTCTTCTGGAATGTGAACCCATGTAGTTTGGTAGAGAGGCAACAGCATTTTGGAGGAACCAACTATCCCTTTGTTATTGACCCTAAGGAGAATGAAAGTAATGAAAATGTTTATGCTTAAGGATCAAGTAATAAAAACTTATTAGAGAACATTAAGAAGAAGAGAGGAAAACATGCATTATCAGTATGACATTGTACCCGTACATTACATGTCACATAGTTGTGTCAACATTATTTAATGAAACACTCTGTGGAGAACATGCTGGCAATATGATACAGCAGACTGGAAGCCAAAGAGGAGAACAGGAAGACATAAAATAAGATCTAAAAGTTCATGACAATGATATACATAGGTCATCCAGAAAGTAAAGACCATTTGGTGATTAAAAGAAATTAATAAAAATTACATCATTACTAGAGACCTTAAATCGTTTTTCAGGCACTTGTATCATGTGACAAGTCTGTGTAATAGAACTGTGCCGCTAGTCCACTGAACTGGTTTCTGACTGTCTTCAGATCTTATTACGAGCCATGCCTGGGCTGCCAAAAAACTGCTTCAAGTATGTGAACATGTGAAAATCACTTGGAGCCAGGTCCAGACTATAGGAAGGATGGGGGGGGGACATCCTAGGCAAAACCCCTGCACAAGTGCTATATGCAAACAGTCTTTACTTCCTGGACAACCCTTGTATTAATACAATTATTGACTTTTTGGACATTATCCATCATCCTGCTTTTTGATTTTAAAACAGTGTTTTGGAGACTGGACTCTTGTCTCCATCCTCAGGTAAAAGCATTTTCAGTTTAGCCCAATGTCTATTGCTAGTCCCTGTCTGCAGAGATAGGAACTAGCTCTATTATGTAGCACGTCCAAAAAGTAAGTTTGCCACTCATCCCACAGCTAGCAAACCTTATATTGCGTGAAGCGACTGCGTGTACGTGATAGAGCAATGACGTAGCATTGCGCATGCACAAATGGAATTTCCCGCGTTCACACAGTAGCATCGTTGCAGCTGTTGAAGATGGAGGCTCTTATTCCAACTCCCGCCGACTATGAAGTGCAGTCAGTGATAAAGTTTTTGAATGCACAGAGCAGAGCGCCGATCGAAATTCGTCAGCTGTGCTGGATCTATGGGCCTAACGTCATGAGCAAGCAGATGGTGCGTCACTGGTGCAGACAGTTTTCAGCAGGTCGACAAAGTGTGCATGATGAGAAGCGCAGTGGGTGGCCATCCATCATTACAGATGACCTGGTGGAGCTTGTGCGGGAACGCATTATGGAGAATCATTGCGTCACAATTGCGGAACTCAGCAGTCATGTCCCACAGATTTCCCGCACCTTGTTGCACGAAATTGTCACGGAGCACCTGTTGTTCAGGAAATTGTGCGCCACGTGGTGGGTGCCGAAGCAACTGACACCAGAACACAAAACAAAGTGCATGGAGTCAGCATTGACCTTTCTGCAGCAGTACCATGATGACGGCGACGAGTTTCTGGACCGGATCATCACAGGTGATGAAACGTGGATTGCACACATTACCCCAGAAACCAAGCAGCGGTCAATGCATTGGCGTCACAGTGGATCTCCCTGTAAGACGAAATTAAAGCAGACGTCGGCACGGAATGCGGAATGCACGGGATGCTTAGTGCTGGTATTGTCTTCCTGCATGATAACGCTAGGCCGCACACAGCTCGACGGACAGCAAGTCTCCTGAGGAGTTCAGCTGGGAGGTGTTTAATCATCCACCCTACAGCCCGGACCTCGCTTCCAGTGATTTCCATCTTTTGCAAGACCTCAAGAAATTCCTGTCCGGTGAGCATCAGCATTTTGAGAATGACAGAGAGGCGGAGATGGTTGTCACACAGTGGTTCCAATCCCAGGCGGCAGATTTCTATGACACAGGCATACAAAAGTTGGTCCCACGGTATGACAAATGTCTCAATTCCGGTGGCGATTATGTTGAAAAATAGCTGAACACTTGCTGTATCTGTTCCAATAAATATTTCCATGAAATTGTGTTTTGTTTCTGTAAACGGCCCCAGGGAAGCTTACTTTGTGGACGAGCCTCGTAATTGGGCCCAACTGAATTGGCTTTTACCTGAGGATGGAGACAAAATCCAGTTTCCAAAAGATTTTAAATAAACAGGACAATGGATAATGTTCAGAAAGTCAGTAATTGTAGGATGATATGAAGTATAGATCATAAAAAATATTTTTATATACAAGTTCATATGAAGACAAAGTATGAGAAAATATTTCAAAATACTATTATTGTTAGATTTCATTAGTTTTTAGAATTGTATTTTAGCGTCATTTTGTGTGTAGAATATTTTATTCAGTTTCAGTCTCACAATATATGTATAATTCTAAGATAACTATACAGTTTCTACAATTATGACATGTTTTGACCAATATTTTTGGCCATCATCAAGTAGTATTTATACAGCCACTCTCAACCCTCTGCTGTTTCCCTTCCACTAGCCAATGATTACACTGAATAGATGAAACATTCCATTTGTAAATAGTGTAACATCTCGGTGTAATCTCAGAACATTTATTAGAATATATTCCCTATTCAAAATTGAGTGATTAAGCACCAACATTAAACTGACCCAACACAAAGCAATCATCAGGAGTATAATGACTTATGCTTGCTCTGCCTGGGAGTATTTGTCTGCACCTGCTAAACAAGGTTCTCCACACCACCGACAATTTTCCAAGGCACACACCAGTTTGTGATTTGCACATGACTTTCAAACTTCCGTACATACTCGTATATGATTTTTTTTCCTTGGCACTACAGCCCCAGTGGGCCTAGGCCTACCTCCACGAACTTCTCCGTTCACTTCGGTTTTTCTATATCTTACACATTCGGTAGGACTCCTTGGGCGGGTGATCAGCTCACCACAAGGCCTCTACCTGTACACAAACACAGAAAAATGCACACTAAACATCCATGCCCTGTGTGGGATTCAAACCCACAATCCCAGTTTCCAAGCGAGCGAAGACAGTACTCATATGATTATATAACAAAATTGTTCAGGCAACAAGCAGAAGTCATATAAAATCATGAAAATGCAAATGTTCACAACAGTGGACAAGGCGAAGCTTGACACAGAAAATATAAGAGTTTTAAACTTGGTGGCATTCAGGAATATGACGACTGTTCAAGTGACTAGACTGCCATTGTAGTGAAAGCTACGAAAGATAGGGCATGATCTGCTTTGGTGCCATACTTCTGGAGCATACTGAGGGTTCCCTATAGAGCAACTTTGAAATAGGAACCCATGTCTGCAAATGTAAAATAGCAGCGCTAGGGCGGCATTTAATATCATTTTGTTTAAACTTGGCACCTCAATGTTGGAATAGCATGCACAGACACATTACCCCCTCCAAACTTTAAGACTCACCTGCTAGAGTAGATGCTGGAATTGGCACCCTCCATTTTCAATGCTTGCGTTACATCAACAAAAGAAAGTTTGGCTCACCCTTTCAAATATTCCAGGTGTCTGACAGATCACGTCACATGCAACAAGAATTCTGGCCAACAGCTCGAATTCATTATCCACAGGCATGTCATAGATCAGGCTTTTCACATTGCCCCAGATGAAATAGTCCAGAGGTGTCAAGTCTGGGGATCGAGGTGGCCAAGGCACTGGGCCTCCTCTTCCTATCCAACAACCATGAAATGCAGTGTCCAGGTAGTCTCGTGATACAATGCTGAAGTGTGCTGGTGCTCCATCATGCTGTATTCACATTTGCCTCCTCACAATCACAATCTTCTAGCAAAGTCGAAAGGATACATTCCAGGAACCCCTTGTAAAAGGGCCCATTGAGTCACAGTGGTAGCAGGAAAGGCCCAATCAAGTGCTCGCCAATGATGCCCGCCCAGACATTGACAGAAAATTGCGCCTGTTAGTAACCAACTACAGTAACGGGGTTTTCATCAGCCCAAACGTGGCTGTTTCGACAGTTGAACCAGCCATCTCTTGTAAACACTAGTTGAGTATCCACTGACCAAATTGAACTCGTGGTATGAAGTCAGCCGGACCTACGTCGTGTACTCGCTTTGGATGATACAGATAAAATTGTTGGTCATGCAGGATCCTCCAAACACTTGATTTTGATGTCCCCACAAACTAGGTAATGGCACGAGTGCTGGTGGATGGCTGTTCCTCTATGCAATGCAGTTCAACATTGAGGCGCCAAGTTTAAACAAAATGATTTTAAATGCCGCCCTAGTGCTGCTATTTTACCTTAACGAAATTACATTTTTATGGCATTCAAGGAGGAAGAGGAAGTTATTTTAGAGCCTACCTAATAGATTTTGTGTACATAGTCTAGGACAGTTTCTACTTTGTTGTGGAGCCAGAAACAAAGTTGCTGTAGATGCATCAGTTAGAAACCACATGCCTCCAAAACCTTTGGCACTATACAATAGGCCTTTGTGCACAGTGGTTCAAAATAAATATAGAAACTTTTTTTAAAATTTCATATCATTATTCTCTGAATATTATTCTAAAACAACAAAGCCACGGACAGAATGATGAGTCTGCTGTATGCATTTGAATAGGCATAAGAATAAATATGGCTGCTTTACTAATATTTCAACCTCATGTTTTCGAACAGCTATTTCATACAATTTTTTATTTGCCAGAGAGGTCTTGTGCCATATAACAGGTATGCCCTATGAGCCTATTTACAAATTTCCTTCCCAGGACTTTTCAAGCGCAAAACACTTAAATACGCTTAGGCATAAGAGTGCAAAAAAAACTGACTACCCCATCAAAGGCAACCAAAGGATTATCGGCACAGCATTGACGGTCATAAGGCGAGACATTTTTTATTCTTTCTCAATATGCCGATCTAAATCACAACTGTAAAACGCTGGAAATTCTTTCATAAATTGTTGTTATATCTGCAATACATAAATGTAACTATACGTACTAGCAAAACGAAACATGATGTGTTCCAGCTTCTGGGATATAATATCGAGATATCAAGTAATCCGTCGAAAGTTGCCCAACATATTCCTCCGAAATATCGATTTACTCTCGACGGACTACATGGTATTATAACCGAGAAGAGAGAGTTCGTCATGACTGGTCATGACTACTGCTATGAGAACCTCAACTACTGCAAAATGAAACATATAGACTGATTTAACTCCTGAAAAATGAAATATATTGACTGATTTTTTTCTCCTCCTTGTATCAAAGGGTAAGAGTGTATGCACGTCCGTGTTACCAGTAAAATATTTCCCTCTAGGCACTGAGCATGCTCTCTTTCTAATGGAAATTGGTCGTAGACTTGCATGGGTCCCACGTTTGAGTTCTGTAGATCCTGTATAAGCTTTGAGGACGCCTAAAAGATAAAATGGCGGATGGTGTGGACATTGATTTGTACGCGGATGATATCGAACAAGATTTTGCACAGGTACTGTGTATTTAAATATAGACTTGGTACAACTTTACAGTCTGTTTATAATTGTAGAGAATTACCTTAAATGTGGCATCAGAACTATCGGAAACGTTATTAAAGCAGCTGCAAAAAGTAAGGAGTTTGCCGGTTTAGTGCGCCGAGTTACATGAATAGGTTTTGTAGCGGTCACGTAGCAGGCAAATGTATATTGCGTTGTGTTCTTTTGTGTAAAATTGGATACCTAGAGTTTTATTATATTGAACCAGTTATGAAAGTGTTATTTATAGTACATTATCAAGACTTATAAGCCCAGCACAATGTAAACTGCATATTTACGTACAGATTTTTGTTAGTGCTTATTTAAGGATTCTTGTATTTGACGATGCTGACAGTTATCCGAGATTTGCAGTGTAGAATGGTAAAGCAATTGGTAAATAATTAATTACAAAGGATGTTAAAGGAAGTGGTCGTAGCATATTTGAGGTACTGTCCCGGCATTTGCGTAGTGAGACTAAGGACGACCACGAAAGCCTTAGGATAATTGACGCTTGGCCGAGATTCCCATCGGGTTCCTCCTGAGTACAAGTCTGAAGCGTTATCACTTTAGCACACTTCTTCGGTGAAACTTGTTAATGTGAAAAAATATTACTACCAAGGAAATTTTGCAAAACGTGATTGCAGCGCTGCATTTTAACTCGAAAAAGGTATTTCACTCAGATTAAATGCATGTTTTTCTTCCGCTTCTTGGATTTAATCTGAACTTTCAGCTGTGGAACTTAAAATCAAAGCACAGTTCAGCATTAACAGATAAACACATTTATGAACCCGCTTTATGCAGAATCTGTATCAGATTTGTTTCTAAATTTTAGCGTTTGGTTCCAGTAAGGAACAATTCTGGTCATGTATATACTGTTTTAACTATCAAAACTCTTTTTAATATTCTCTTTATATATCAGGGATTATCCCTCTAATTTTATCCTCATTTCTGCGTTAATGTTCGAGCATAAATAAATTATGAAAAATTCTCAAATGTCACATTACATATAATTGTCTTCAGAAATAGAACTACAATCCGTTACAAGTTTTGTATAATACACATGAGGTAAAGCTATCCCTGTAACAGGCTGTGGTGCACTATGGCCATGGGGTTGACTCAGCCTCAAACAGAAATAAGTACCAGGAATCTTCCTGGGGGTGAAGAGCAGTTGGTGCATAAGGCTGACAACTTCACTGCCATCCATGAGCCATTTGTCTAGAAAATGTGGGGGATCCTTGATGTCTCACAACCCTGTGGGCCTGCATGGCCTGTTACAGGGGTAGCTTTACCTTTACACTCACACATAGTTCACATCAGTAGTCATACAAATATTTTACTTTTGTTAGCAATTCTGCTATTTCACAGCAGATCAGCGATTGCATTTCTGGAAGTCTACATTTGTTATAACTGTTGATTTTGGTTTCATGTTTATATATTTAATTTTACCTTTGTCTGTACATACATCTAGTTCCCCTTCCTTATTGTTAGGAAAGTACCTGTTTTGCTGTTTATGGCATTTATATTTTCAACTACCAGTTTCAGTGCTGTGTAGTCTAGGCACTGACAGTGTTGTAAAGCAAATGTCAAAAAAATTATTACTAAGATTAACATGTACCTGATTAGGATATCAGAAGAAAATTAATATCCAAATCCAGCATTTAAACCCCCTAGTAGCTGTACACTGCAGCTGCAATTGAGTGGCCTTGCAGCAGGCATTTCTCACAGCATTTTTCATTGTGATGCAATTTAGAAATACTGAAGCTAATTTTATGAATACAGTCCATTATATTTCTCTAAGATACATTTTAATATTATCCACACACACATGCCTAGGTCTTCCTAGTCCCTCTGGATTTCCCAACAAGGCCCTATATGCATTCCTCTTTTGCATTCATGCTATATGATATGCTCATTTTATCCTCATTGACATCATCGTTCTGATCATTCTTGGCAAAGAATACAAATTATCAAGCTCTGTTTAGCAGTTGTCTGCAACCTCCTATCATTTCATTTCTCTTTTGTCCAGATGTTTTCCTCAGTGTCCTGTTCTCAAACACCCTCAGTCTCTGTCCATCTCAATATTAGAGACCAAGTTTCATGACCAGAGAAGTTTTAGTTTTGTATAGTCTAATTTTTTACACTTTTAAACCAGATGAGTAGTTGAAAGGCTGTGGACTGAGTAGTAGCAAGCAGTACCCAAAGTCACTCCTCTTGAATAAGTTTTGATTTGTTAGTGTCATTCCCAAATATTTGAACTTTGCCACATTTTGAAGGGATATGTTAGCTGTCTTTATGAATTTGCCCTACAGTCTGGTGAAGAGACATGAAACATATTAGTTTTCTCTGCATTTGCTTCTAGACCAATCTCCTAACTGGCATAAGTTAAGAGTGTCAAGTTGTGGTGTATTTGCTCCATGCAAGAATGGTTGAGTTGCAGACACAGCTGTTTATAAATAATGCAGTGGAACAAGGGGTTATGCAACTTGCTTCTAGGCCGTGGCTTGGTAAACACACTTTTGCGCAGGCACAATGATGTCACATCCCAGCAGTGCTTAGCTGTCATGTGACTAGTGTTTCCTGTGCGGTCTGTAGTATGCAATAGTAGAACTGTGTTTTCTGCGTCGTCTGTGCCACAGCTATGTAACATGAGTCTGCTTGCAGCTAAGAAGAGTCCAGAAGAGTTTTTAGTTGAGTTCCGAGGTTCCAGGGTGATTGAACAAGAAATTGCAAGAAGACTTCATAGTGATTTGAAGTACAAGTTTCTGTGTTGAGGTCCGTTGCCAGGAGACGACTCATGAAGACGGAGAATCCTAGTGTGTGTGCAGTGGTGAACTGTAAATTGTATAAATCAGCGGTGGTGCTGTATTAATTATAATTAAGAGAGGGATAGTGTAACCGAATTGCTAACAAATCCAATCATCCGAATTAGAACCCGTTATTTTCGTCACGCGTACCGCCCTATGTGTGACAATATTTATGTTATCTCCCAATAGATATACATCATCAGCATAGACAGCAACTGGTGTGTCCCATTTAGTTTCATTCCCACCTAGTTTTCCTGCACCTTCCTAATAACATATTCTAAAGCAATGGTGATAAAGTATCTCCTTGTTTTAGACCATTGTATTGATTGATGAGGCAACTTACAGGAACATATTCCTTTTATGTTTTTACATTTATTAATTTAGGCTAATGTATTATAATTTTTTTTACAGTCACTTGTCATCACTGTATTTAGACTTGCATATATTTTAAACAAATATGGGGAAGTATTTTTAACTACTACAACCAGCAGTATGTCTACTGAGACTGAATTCAATTAGCTGTATGTGTAAGTCAGGTCCTGATGTGCCTGGGTTGTATTGTTAATTATCTTTTGGGTAAGAATGTGCACTGCTGACTGATCCCAGCAAGGTTTCATATGGTGTAGGCTCTCTGATATGAAAGCTCTACAGCCTGTTATTCTTTGGGCATTTTAAGTACAGTCAACTCTCGATTATCCGGGGGCGGATTAACCGGTTTGCGGCTTAACCGGGGCTTTTTTTTTTTAAGTTTATATGTTGTTTAATATTCATTCACTTTTGTTTCACATGGTGAGTTTAACACTATTTTCGCACTAGTGTGAACCGAGCTCTGCATTATTTCGTCCCGTTATGCGAACACAATGTTCTAGGGTGGGGGTGAAAGAATGCAAGAATTTTTGGAAAGTTTCAAGGACAAATACACCGCCCCAGGTTATTTAACGGTACCATCTCAGTGTGAGAGTGCATTGTGAAAGTAAGTATCAGTTTCTTAATATAGATCTTCAAGTGCGTTAGCAAAATGTCGGGGTTTAAAAGGAAGCGTGTTGTGTTAAGTATTCAACAGAAACTTGAAATTATCAATCAGCTGGAAAAAGGAGCTGTAGTTAAACAATTAGCAATGCAATACGGTATTGGAGAACAAACTGTTCGTGATTTGAAAAAACAAAAGAATGAGTTAATTTCCTTTGCTTCGTCTTCTAATTCAAGCGGAATGAAGAAGAGAAAAACCATGAAGAAATCAACATACGATGATCTCGACAAAGCGATGCTGACCTGGTTTAATCAACTAAGGGCACAGGGAACAACAATAACAGGACCAGTTTGTGCTAAACAAGCTAAATATTTTTTCGAAGCACTTGAACTAGAAGGGAGTTTTGACGCTTCTTCCGGTTGGCTAACACGTTTCAAGCAGCGTCATGGAATACGAGAAATCAGTATTCAAGGTGAGAAATTGTCAGGGGACTTGTCAGCATCAGATCAATTTTGCACCAATTTTGATAGTTTTGTGAAAAGTGAAAATCTGCTGCCAGAACAAATCTATAATGCCGATGAAACGGGTCTTTATTGGAAATGCTTGCCAACCAGAACATTGGCATTTCAAAATGAAAGACAGGCTCCAGGTCACAAATCCAGTAAGGAGAGATTGACAGTCTTGTGCTGTTCTAATGCATCAGGAACACACAAACTAATACCAGTAGTTATCGGCAAAGCGAAAAGACCACGCTCTTTTAAAGGAACAGTAGCTTCAAGTCTGCCTATCCATTATTTTAACCAGAAAGTAGCTTGGATGAATAGAGCGATATTTAAAGAATGGTTTGATTTTAAATTCGTGCCTCAAGTTCGTGACCATCTAAAATCCCAAGGCCTACCTGAGAAAGCTGTGCTCCTCATTGACAATGCGCCCTCACATCCTAACGAAAGTCTCCTGAGGTCAGATGATGGAAATATTTTTGTGAAATATTTTCCCGCTAATGTTACCGCACTTATCCAACCAATGGATCAAGGAGTTATCTCAAGTATGAAGAGAATCTACAGATCAAATTTGCTACAAAAGTACATCGATGAAGGCAATGATCTGACGTGTTTCTGGAAGTCCTTTTCAGTATTAGATGCCATATACGAGATTTCAACAGCGTGGGATACAGTAAAGCCATCTGTATTGAAAAATTCATGGAAGAAACTGATGCCTTTCATCACTAATGAAGATGACGAAATCCATGGATTCACTGGATTCAGTGAAAATGAGATAGCCATAAAATTGACAAAAGTGGCTAACCAAGTTCATGGTGGTGAAGAAGTCAACGAGGAAAATATAAGAGAGTGGTTTAACTGTGACTCGTGTGAACCGGGCTTCGAAATGTTAAGCAGTGACGAAATCGTAACTTCAATGGGGGTGCAGCCAGAAGAGCGGGAAGAAAGTGAGAATGAGGAAGAGGTGGACAGTGTTGCCAGTAAGAAAGTATCACATGGTGCTGCGCTTAATCATTTGGAATCCTTACTAGACTATCTTGAGAGTGAAGAGGACAGTTTATTAAGTGACAAGCTAATATTACGTAGGCTTCGTACGGATATCCGTAAAAAGGAAAATGCCGCGAAAAAGCAAAAGACAGTATTAAATTATTTTAAGTGTTAAGTGTGACCGTAAAAAGTGCTGGATGTTGTTGAACAGTGATTGAAATAACTAATTCATACTGAGTGTAATGTAAAGAAAGTATTAAATAGGCCATGAGATGACATAGAAATGAGGATGAATAAATTTAAATACAGGTAGGTCTATAGTATTATGAAGGTATTAAAAGGTAAAAGGTAAAGTTGTTCCTCTGCTCAACGAATTAAGCCCTACGCCATTAAGGCGTGTGGGGGAGTGGATGTATAGATCCAAATTTTCTTGACCTCGGCACTAGTTGGAGGTGAGTGGTCAGCTTCACGCCCCGGCCGCTTTACCCCCGGGGAAAGAGCCCCCGGTACCCATTGGATAGGAGGTTGGATGGACCCCAGAGCCGGTCTGGACGATTTGGAGAAGTTAAAATTCTTGACCCTACCGGGACTCGAACTCCGACCCTTCACAGTCGTCCAGCCCGTATAATAAAATTTGGCTTAACCGGGTTTTCGATTAACCGTGACTTCCATCCCCACCATTAGCCCGGATAATCGAGAGTTGACTGTATTCATGTTCTAAATGTACCGCTAATCTGTATAAAAGATATTGGCAGTATGTTGTAAATATTTTTTGTTTGCAGTAATTATGAATTTTGTATCACCAGCACTTTGTGCTGTAATCCAGTTAATGAATATGGAAGTAATGGCAGAAACAACTTGTACATACTGCTTTGGATGGTTAAATAACTTCATCAGTTGTGATGATAAATTGCATGACAAGTGTTATGATAAGATATCAAAGAATGATGCATCAGATAAGCAAAAAGATGATGGTGGGACTGACAGAATTGAAGAGTTTGCCAAGATTACTGCAATGCAGTCCATAAATGACAGTTTGCAGTCTATTGGTGAGCCAAGACTAGGTGAAGATAAGTACTCTACAAGAAAATTGAAAAGAACTGAAAATGCTCTGAAAACAAAAATTTGTAACAGTCAAAAGGAAAATTTTTGAAACTAAACAAGAAGTTCAAACACTTTGAAGGGTACAATCCAGCTATTGTCCCTAAGAGTGTGGATGTTTAAAAAGTTCAAGAAATTTCCCCAGTTGTGTATAACTACATTATTAGGACAGCAGAGGAACTTGTTATGGACCAAGTCATGTCTTCCCCTAATTCCAAACCAGGCAACACTTCAAAACTTTAAAAGACGTTACTCTTGAAGTTGTAAAAAGTTATTATAACAATGATGAAGTTAGTAAAGTAATGCCTTGTAAAACTGATCAAATATTAATTGAAGGCAGTGGTGCCAAAATACGTGAACAAAACTGACTACTGCTATGCAGTTTGAAAGAGTCATACTCTCATCCTAAAATCTCAAATCCAGGAATCAAAGTAGGCTTTTCGAAGTTTGCATCGTTGCATCCCAGAAACTACTGTGGCACGTGCAAATGGGACACACAGATGTGAAGTTAGTGTTGGAAGCCTGAAAAATATTTAAATTATCAGGTGAGCATTACCTTTCTAAGTGCCAACACTTTCTCGTCTATGATTTGCAATTTACCTCTCACAAACTTTTTTCCGTGATCACAGTGAATGTACAGGACATGATAATTTAGATAATACACTAGAAGATGTGTTCATTGATTATTCAGTTGAAAACATCGCCTTCAAAGACTGGATTTTTTAGTCAAATATGAGTTAGTAATCACTGTAAAGACAATTGAATTCATTAAATGATTGCTTGAAAATTGTTGCTTCATTAATTGCATCACAGCAGGTGATGTTCCGCAGAGAGTTGAAATGAAATCTGCAATCAGGTGAATTATGGTTTTATGTGATTTCACCAAAAATTATTCTTTCATTTTGCAAGATGAAGCAGAAGGAATGCACACGCCACTATCCATCCATTTGTAATTTGTTTCAAGAAGTAAGATGCTTTAAATGCAGAGCTTGAGAATCTGGTAATGTGATCAGATTGAAGAGTGATTACATTTTGGTACATACCTTCCAGTGGCAACTAATTGAGCTGATTGAAGACACGAGGTGAAATTTTATATGTCACTTCTGAAGGAGACCCAGGAACCTTACAGTATTTTAATACAATTATTGACTTTTTGACATCTGTCATACTATTTTTTTATTAAAAACGTTTTGGAAACTGGACTCCATATCCCTCCTCAGGTCAAAGCGTACCCACTTGGGACCAATCCATAAAGCCAGTCCCTATCTCTGGACACCAGAACTGACACCAGACAGGATGTATAAACCATACACAACATAAATATAAGGGGGAGTTCATTCATTCATTTATTTTCCATGTATCCATGTACAGGTACAACCCAGGATATGGAAATAGTCCATTTAACAGTGTTCATACAAAATTACGCAAGTCTCATAGATACAATCACATACATCAGTTAATCAGTTTACATGATTTAAAGAGAACATTGATATATCAGATCTCTTCAGTGCAAATATAAAAACATGATTCAAGAAATTAAATAAATTGCCTAAATATTAATGAGCCAACCATACCTCCATTTGCACCACATAACAAGTAACAGAGTGCATCTAAACAAACATTGCGAAACTCCACTCACACACACACACACACACACACATGAGGCCTCCCACCTGTGCACTTGTCCCTTCCCCCCACGCGCGTGCTTGTGCTGCATGCACGCAAAAGCCATCCATGGATACACAAGATGAAATACTGCAGTTGTCAAAGCTGGACACAAACGGAGAAATGTGAATACAGGAAATTTGTGTGTTGCAAAGTATTGCTGTACTTAGGCTTTGAGGTTCTCACCCTTGTAACTGAAGAGTTTCAACCTCAGGGATGTAACATGGCCTGTTTCTTGCTTGGTTTACTCTTCGGCCCTGAAGTGGAGGCAATACCTGTAAGTTCCTGTGGAACATTAGTTCACTTTACTGAATTACACATGTTACATTCCATAAGCTGGGACTGTAGTGCTGTATCATAGGCGTATTGGGGACAGCTCATTCATGAAGGTAGTGTGTTAGGATATTGTAGCCTTACTTAGGTGTAGTTTTTTCACAACCTTTATAAAACTGATCTCTCCACATATGAATACTGTTGAAAAATGCCAATGTAAACTGAGGCAACGTAGTTAACATAACCTAATGTTTTGGCACATCCATCCTAATCCTTGAATGACATGTAAAATTTGTGCCTTATTCAACATTTCTGTCATGTTTTTGCAAATGCTTTCTGTTCCAGTGTGTCTTGAATCTTCCCTAGATTAAAAATAAAGGAATTGTAAAAGGAAACTTGTGTGTTCACTTTCTTTACTAGTTTTGAAGTTCTTTTTCTGCATGTAAAGATCACAGGTTTATTTCAACATTGTGTACTTACACAAATATTTATTCAGGATGAGTTTGCTGGAGATGGCGTGGATCTCTATGATGATGTGATAGCAGCACCGCCAACCACAGGAGGTGGAGGAGATGACAATTCTCAACCACCTCATACTCCAGGACCTCCAATTCAAAACAGTGATGGGCATTCACCAAACAATGCCAACCCGCCATATCACCAGATGGGTAACAACATTCAACCCAATCAAGTTGGACGTCGCCATCAACTGTATGTTGGAAACTTAACATGGGTGAGTGTTATGTACAGAAAATGCTAAAGATTACTTATTTTTTAGGCTTTTATGGTGGTTGGTTATTGATGTTAATGCTGTTCTTGGGTTGCTACACAATGTGGCTGTGGACAGTGGTGCTGATGTTTCATAGGTACATGTCTCCATCTTCAGAGTTGAAGATTGAGACAGCATGTACTTGTGAAATGTCAGAGCCATCACCCACAACCATACAATGTAGTAACTCAAGAACAGATTTAATATCAGTAATGTTAAAGATGTAATTGTAAAAAATTTGATTTGGTAGAGATGAAGTATACAGTTTTACTCTCAACTGAGGATTTCAGCCAAGGACATTATGGATTGCTGTATATTAGTAGCTGGCTATATAGTTCCTGTCATCGTGGGATAGCATGTACCCATGTTGCATTTGCCAGTACATTAGACGTATTTCAGGAAGTATTAAAAATGAACGTTGGAAATGGTAGATGTTGGCATTACCTTCCCGAATTCCATATGTAATGTGTTGATATTATAAGCCAATTTTGGTACTTCTCTTTGTTTGTTTATGTTTGTTGCATTGCCATAAAATGTTATTTACATAATCCATTAGTCATTTGTTGATGTTTTTGTCTTTAATAAAGGTTATAATGTGCATTACAGGGAGACAGATCTTTTTACAAAATATAAATTGGAATATCTCTAATACCAGATGGCATAATGGTTTAGAATTTGAGTTAAATTTAGGTCCCCACTGGCATCCATCGTTTAGGTTTGGGGTTAGTGTTTGTTAACCCTTTTGCTGCTCAGTGATTAGTTCTCATCCTATCCCCTTTGTCAATTCTTTTACAATTTTCCTTAAATATTGAATTCAGAGAAATCAATCAGAAATTGAATTAATACATATTATTTATTATTGCTAATGGGGTGGGACTAAGTCCCTTTTCCTGCGGCCACTTCTGGCCTATTGTACCAGCCCTAGATGATGGGTGAGGATGATTTTTGGAGCAGTTGGTGGAATGAAGATTGGCAGGGGAAACTGAAGTACTTGGAGAAAACCTGCCCAACGCCAGTTTGTCCACCACAAATCCCACTTGACCAAAACCGGGCCGCCGCGGTGAGAAGCCAGCGACTAACCGCTTGAGCTATGGTGCAACCCTATTATTATACTTACCTAAATCTTGCCACGGAAAGTACTAAATATGTAGTACTTAATACGTGACCTACATAAGTATCTCAGATCATAGATTATGACGATGTGAAAGAATTTCTTATTCTCCCTGTGCTGGGCAAGGTCAAGTGATGTATAGTATTTTGCATAAATACATAGTCGTGTAGCAGAGGCCTTATAAAGTACCAGCCTCTGAAAAATTTTTGACGTGTTTTTATCTGTAACATAAGTATTTGTATAGTGTTGAGAGGCCTTATATAGCAGCAGCTCTGAAACATTTGGAACACGGTTTCTTTCTTTGTACACTCTAAGGTCCAGTTATGTGTATCATGTTTCCCTTTTCAGTAAGGAAATTGTGGGGGGGGGATGATGTAATATGGTGTTCTGCGCCTACATCATTTGGTGATGAAGCTTGCCTTTAAAGTTTTAAGTAAATAGAACTTAAATAATAACTTGCTGTGGAACAACTGCACAGTTCTGTACTGCAGTACATTTGTGCTGAATTGAAGCTGGACTGCCACTGCCACTGCCACACAAAGGGCTGGCATGCTGGATGCATGATGATTGAACAGGTGTGAACTTACAAGAGGGATCCAGCATGGCTATGCATGCATTTTATTAATATCTCCCGTGAGGTTGAGGGCTAAACATTTCTGGTTTTTTTTC